CTTAGGCCAGTGAAGCAACATCCTCCACAACTAGACTGAAGAACAAAACGACAGCAACTTGTCTGTTCCCCTTCCCCTAATTCCCCAGCGCTGTTTCCATCCCCCCAATTCCCCAATAAAAATATATATATATAAAAAAAAAAGAATTCAGCCACAGCGGGGAGACAAAAAGAGGCTAGAGAGGATTTTAGTCAGGACTCGTTAGCTGCAGGTGACAGGAACACAGCACAAGTAGCTTAAGCTAAAAAGTTCAGGTGCGGATTTTGGGGGCCACAGAAGGAAAGCTGTGCAGGACCCAGGACAGCACTGGGACATTGGATTGGTATAAGGGACTCACCACTTCCAGGAGTCCCTCTGCCTGTGTCTGGTCCCTGAGTCTAAACAAGGCCTCTGGGTATAAGTGAGGAGGGCTCATCCTCTCAGTTTCTCCTCTGGTGGGAAGCTGCCTGCTGGCAGCTATCATCTCAGTTTGAAAATAGTTTCCAAAAGTTTGAGTTGTAATCTTTTGATTCCAAAATGTAGTGTTTTGTAATCTATCTCCTCTTTAAAAAAAATGTTACTGTTAATTCATAGAAACGATGACTGGTTTCCTAGAAAAGCACCAGTAAAAAAACCAAAGAAGCCTTTCTCACGATTTCCTCTGTTTCCTTTTCCAGTCCTTCAAAATACAGTGTTGTGTTTGGTCTAATAATATAATGACTGTTTTCAGGCCCCTTGTGAGAGTTCTACAGGGAGGTACATTTCATTTTCACAAGTGGAAAGATTAGCCAAATGCAGTTGTAACATTGGTTTTCTTTTGTTCTGCCCTACGACAAGCTTCTTTAAAGCCAGGCCTTCTCCTTATGACCCCTGAGGAAAAGACATCTGATTTCTTGGAACTTGCCATTTGTCAAGTGTTGTTTCTTAAGTCTGGAATTTCAGCAAGCAGCATGCCACTGATTTTTTACATCCACACACCCCCATCCCCACAGTTAACATTGACTGAAGTGAAAATTTACATATTATATTATATATTATACGGACTTTGCCTTATTATTATTTTTTAATTTCAGGTGTATTTTTTTACAATGGGCATCCAATAAAACAGGTAGATGTCTTGGGAACTGTAATTGGAGTGAGAGAAAGAGATGCCTTCTACAGTTACGGAGGTGAGAACAATTATGCCTGACATTGTGTTTATGTGAAAGGACCCCACTTAGCTGGATGCTGAACTTGAAACAACCCCAGCCTTTCAGAGCAGCTGGGGACTCTCACAGACCCCTATTGGGAGCCCCCTGGAGCCACCAACCTGGACTAAGTGTACAATGAGGCAGTGGGTAGAATGATACTGACGAATACTGTCAAGTGACAAATATTGTCAAGTGACTGATGCTAGAAAATGTCCCTTCCCTCATTATGATGGAAAGTAAATAAAGAGTTTCTGTAGCTTGGATACCAGCGAATTGTTAGAATATGAGTTTAGTGTCACAGGTCTTGATTTTTTTCATTGAGTTGAATGTAAGCATTTTAACACATTGCCTTGTGCAGCTCTAAGAGCCTCTGTAGTTAAGCCAAGCTAGATATTTTGTGGGAAGCCTAACTTTGAATTTCAAACCTTTGCTGTAATTGATATTGTCACTTTTTGTTGTGTTGCCTTAGATCTGTGTTCTTCTTAATCTACTTCGAGAAAGACAGAAAGCAGTTGAACTAGGTGACCGAGAACGTTTCATTGGCAATCTGTGCATGACTGATAACTTACAGATATAATAGCCTTGCATTTCTTCAACATGTATTCATTTTCCTGAGGATGATTGTTTTATGCTTATAGAATAACATGTGAGATGAGATTTCTCTTGCCCTCTACTTTTTCTCAGCATATATATTTTTTAAACTCTGAAGTAGATCATCTTGTCAGGCACCCCCTTACTGGATCTCATCTCTGCTTTATGTAGCTAAGATATTGGTTCTGTTTTTCTCCAGACAATTCCACAAGCATTCACTAAGTTTCTACAGCATACCCAGCTGTGGGCAAGCACATTATCTGTAGTACAATACAGTACTTCTCTCCAAATACCAGTAATAATAGTATCTTTCAGTGTACAAAATAGTTTTACATGCATAATTTCATGTTTTTTTCCCCTAACTTTTAATAGAAAGGGCAGATATTATTTCCATTTTGTACATGAGAAAACTAAGGCTCAGTTACTTGCTCAAGGTTCCACTGATGGGTCCAGTGTATTTACTGACTCCGGTGTGCTGTATAGTCTACATATAACTTAATCTGATTTTTCTCTCCCCAAGCCCCCTGCCTGCCAATCAGCAGCATCTAGTTTTTAATTTTCTATTTTTTTAAATCAAATAAATGAGGCTGTTTGAGGATATCATTCCTTGCCATAAAACCAGGCCAGATATTGTGCCTTAGACCTAAAGGGGCTTCACTTAACCCCTTTTCCCGTCATAGAAAGATGAAGGCAATGTCTGAGTCTTCCTCGGTAAACATTTCCCTTAGAGTGGATGTTGTGAGAGCATGGCATATCTGTAGGCTGTGAGAAAGCATAAAGCACCCGAAGGTTGCAATCATTGAGAGAGTAGAAATACTTTTGTGACTTTAATTCTTGTTCAAGGGAGAGCTGTACTCTCCTTGCTATCCTCAGGTACATTGGCCCTGGGGCCACCTGCCAGGTGGCCACTCCTGCTGTTCTGGGTCCTGCTCCACTTCACTCAACATGGGCCTCTGCAGGGGGTGCTTCCTGCTCACACGGACCCTTCCCACAGCTGAAACAAAAGGCCAGCGGTGCAGGCAATGCTCCCCAGCTGGGAGGACGTGGTGCAGCCTGCAAGGATGCTCCCCTTCCAGGCCATTCCAGCAGCCAGACCTCAGGGCGCCAGGAGAAGGTCTGTCAGGAGGGGTTACAAACCAGGAAGTCAATGGCCGGGTCCAGAGCACACAGAGTACCTGGCAGCAACTCAAGCTCAGACCTAGAATCCTGGGAGGCTACAAAAAGATCAGAATGACCTCCTCACATTTTCTAGAACAAATATTCAAATGTGCTAACATTTTTTGACTTTTCATTATAAAACAAGATTTTAAACTGGCCAGAGAAGTGGTGTGCCTAGAGGTGTCATGCATTTTTTTTTTAATTCAAAATGTCCTTACTGATTTATTTGCTTCTTAAAATGATACTCATTATAAGGTAAAATTTAGAGCTAGAGAAAATTTTAATAAAGTCCATAAAACTTGTGAAACCCTATAAAGCAGACAAAAACAAAGTCAGTGTTTGGGTGAACATTCTTGTTAATATTTCTAATATGCTCCTAATATTGAAGAAATATAGATATGCCTTATTTCCTCATTACTATTATGCATATTTCTTTCTGTTAATATTTCTGAAATTAGGCCTACAGTCCATGTATACTTTGAATATGGGGTTCCTTCCCCATTCTCCAAAAGAAACTGCTATTAGCATTTTAATGTCTTAAAATCATTTCTGTCAAAATATACTATTTAATGTTTTATATAAATTAGATTATAGGTAAGATTATATATACGATTTCTGTCTTCCAATGAGGTATAATTACCTTTTAGCAGCAATGAACATCTTCATTATAGCTTTTTATTCTCATATGCCATTGTATTTTATTTAAACAGGTCTATATTTATAAACATTTGGGTTATTTCCAATTTCCAGTACTATAAACAATATTTCAATTAATAGCCTCGTAGAAGATGTAATATCTATGTATTTGTTCTATTTTTCTCCTCAGGATAGGTTACTGGAAGTACAGCATATGAGAGTATCAGTGTTTTTCATATTTGTCGTTCTAGTAGTTGAGGAAATTATTTAAATTTGCTCCTTTTTTTCTGATAACTAGGAAATTTAGTGTACTGACCTGTTTATTGGCCATTTTTATATCTCCCATGAATTGTGTGTTTTTTTTCTTTGCCACTTTTGTGGTCTCAGTCTTTTCCTTATTAATGTGTGTGAGCTCTTTATATATTAAGACACTAACCCCATCATTTGGAACATTGCTATACAAGCATTAGTTTTTAGTTGGTCAGACACATCAGATTTTTAAAAATGAGTTCTGATTTTCAGGTCTGCTTTAAATAAGTCTCTCCTGAGCAACTATAAACCCAAAGTTAAAAAGTATTCACCCATATTTTCTTCTCATCTTCTTAACTTTACCTATATTACATTTAATAAAATAAAATCCATCTAGAATTTATTTTCGTGTTAGAAATATTCTCAGATCCTGCTTTCAACACAGAATTAAACCAGCAATAAAAAACATTGCTTTATGTTTCTCATTTCTTACATGTGCTTTTGCAACAGTTAGCTGATGATTTTCTAAAAATCATTAAGCCCGCTGACCCCACGTTGAGCAACCTCTGCTCTGAGTTTGTCAGAAATTAGGCAAAAAGAAAACACCTATCATCCCGTAGCGAATATCTCCAAATAACTCTACAGTTATAAATCCAAGTGCAATGTGAATTCTTTGAGATTTTTGGTACTAGGGATAAATAAGCCAGACCAGTATTGTTTGTGACCAAGATGTAATTATTTTGTCTTATGAAACTTTGCCCTTCTGTGATGTACTTGGCTGTCCGTATATCCCATGCAGTGGTAAGGCCTGGGCAGGAGCTCTTTCAAAGATGTAATTATTTTCTCTTATGAGAAGCCCAGGCCCAGAGACTTGGGTTACTTTGTCCAGGTAAGTCAGTGAGCTAATGGAAGAGCAAATGGTGACAGAAGGCTGCTCTAAGTGCCTCTAACCAAGGACCACGTGACACTCTTGTTGCAGGTTAGGAGAGCAGGGCTGATTTTGTATATTTCCAGTCATTGAGATATTTGCACTTCACTTCTGGAGGACACCGTTTTTAGGGGAGGTGTAGGCAAGAATCACTAGACCTTTGAGGTAGGGTAAGTGAAATGTTGACTACGTTCCACTGGGCTCATGTATCATATCGACATTGCAGACAAGCAGTTCCCACTGGTGTAGGGTGAGAGATTATGTCTAAAGGTGGCAGGATAAGGGATTTGCCCAACCAGATTATTGAAAAAGGCCATCATTCAGTATGGCTGAACCCAGGGACAATGTGTTAATTCACCGGCAATGCTCAAGTCTCTGTTCTACTTTTTTATACTTCTCTTGCAGTGGATGATAGCACTGGAGTTATAAACTGCATCTGCTGGAAAAAGTCGACCAACACTGAATCTTCCTCAGGTAATTTTATTGGCCATGCTTCTTTGCTTTTCAGCAAACTGATGGCTGTTACTTAAGGGAGCTGGTCAGAAAGCTGTAGGGCTAACTCTTCACCTTTATCCCCTGGTGAATTACATTGACCTTGAAGCACTGTGCCCAGAGCTGTGGCTACTCTGCAAACTCATACTAAAGCGGAGCCACGTGTTTTTCTTTCCCCCAGTTCTTTGGAGTTCACTTCCTCCTAAGCCTACGGGACTGTGACTAGGTTACTAGGAGTTTCAGCATTTCATTTTTACTATGCCAGTTTATTTTGCAAGTCAAGATGTTTTAGCCTAATTGCCAGTCAGGTCAGAATTCCTTTACTCCAGGCAGCTCACTTGACCAAAGAAGATTTTGAAGACTAACTTCCAAGCTGCCATTCAGATCCAGATTTTTCTGAAATATTTATATGTTCAACAAATATACCAGGAATTCTAAGAGTGATGAGAAGGTAGGATTGCGTTCCTTTGAAGTTAGCCATTAAATAATATAAACTGAACCAGAACTTTAAAATTGTATATTGAGCACACGGACTAGAACTGAAATAGCATATGGAATTTCTTGAGTATATTTTAAAAGTTCCTAGGTAGTGTTTTAAATTGCTTGAGTTCATAATATCAAAAAATATTTTGCACTGTTGGTGATCATTTTTGGTTCTAGAGAAACTACAGAACTAGAACCTTGTTTTCCTCTGTTTTATAACATATGCAGTATGGTACCATACACAGTAGGGTTATTCAATAAATATTATCTGCTGTCATGTCTAACATCTAGTACCTGTCTCCTTGTGTTATGTTATACATGGTAAGAATGTAACTTTTGGAGTGGTTTCTTCTTTCGTTTTTGCCTTTACCTGTCAGAATATCAACCTCCTACTTTGACTCGACTGACCAGTGGAATGGTCCTTTGCTTAATTTTCTGGTGTCTTTACATATAGAATTCTGCCATCAGTTTCAAGTAACTTTCGTAGTCCCATTTCCTAATTTGGGAAAACCTAAATCAGTGACGCTGTAGGAAGTTTGCTTAGGAAGCTTTATAGATTTTTTTTAAAAATTAAGAGAGACAGGCTTTTATGCAGGTATCTCACAGAAATAAACCAATAAGACACTCAGATATTTGAATTTTCATATGTGTCTAGGGTATTAAAATCACTTGCAGATTTATGGTGGTTGTATTATCACAATCTTCATTCAGAAGATGTAGTTTGAATATGCATACTTGTTCCACGCCAAGGGTCAGCAAACTTTGTCTGTACAGGGACAGATAGTAAATGTTTTCTGCGTTATGGACCATATGGCCTGTGTCTCTATTCAGCACTGCCATTGTAACACAGAAGCAACCATAGACGGTGCAGAAACAAACAGGCATGGCCCTGTTTTGATCAAACTTTATTTACAAAACTTGTGGATGGAATTGGCCCATGGGCCATAGTTTGCAGACTCCTGTTTTAGATATTGTTTTAATTTTCAAAATCAAATCTTTTTTTTTAAGAAATGACATCATCAGATATAGTATATAACTCTTATACTTAGTAATTTTTTAGATAAAATGGCTGTCAATACTGAGTGAGATTTTTAAATATCTGTAAGTAGATGAATAGATGAATAATCACAATGGATAGACTTAATTGAAAATTGCTTTGAGAATAAAAAGAGGGTAAGTGTACAAGGAGAAAGCCTGAAAATGATTCTCATCACGTTATATATGAAGTGATATCTTTAAATTGTTCCCGACTAGCCCATTCTCTCCTTGTAATTTAATTGCCCTTAGTGTTAAAGCTTCCACTGGAAAGTGGCCAACGAAGACTAATTTTTTTAAACAAAATTTAAGTCTGAGTCAAAATCATGTTCCAGTCAGTTGAGGTATAAGAATATGATATGAACTCCTATAAATGTCACATTGAATGTACCATTTGGACTTAGCTTATGAGAAAAGTTAAGATAGGTTGGCCCTTAATATTAGAATTTTAAAGAGGGTTTATCTTTCCAGAAGGAATAATAGGCTATTTAAAATGAAATTCTGTCAGGCTCTAGCCATCTCATTATATTCATTAAATTACCCAGCTTGAGCCCTCCCCGGCTTTTTTTGGCAGTTTCGCTCACCCTTTAAATGAAAGCTGGGCCCCTTTTTTTCAGATCAGCCGTCAGCATGATCATTTCAGCGGTGCCCGTGAAGCATTTATTATTACCTATAATGCCTGAATAATGGCAGTGCAATTTATAAATACATTTCAAGTTCAGCCTAAGTAGAAGAGGACTTGGGGATAGAAACACAGACGGGGTAAACTTTTGAAAAGTAATACTTGGGTATTTTCTGAAGAAACCCAGTAAGCTGAGTGACATTAATGCTGATTGTGTCTAGATTCCTAGCTGTTGGTTACTGGATACCCGAAGTCCTCCATGCTCCGGAGGTCGCTGTTTCCCTTGGCGTAGTAGATGTGTTAAAAGAAAAGTGATGCCTTTTCACATTACAAAGCCACTGTTATCTAAGTTTTTTTAAAGAGCAGAATATTTGATTAATAGACCGAAAGAAAGTCCTTCTATTATAGGAACCCTAGTATGTGACAAACCAAAAATAATACAAAAGTCAGAAATAAATGAGCATTTATCAAATGTTGTTGGTTCAGGTAGATAGCAATATTGAAAAAGAGGTAACCATGATCCCTACCTTGCCGCTTACATAAAATAACCCAAAGAAGATAGAGTCGTATATTAATCCCAATAAATATGGGGGTATATGTTAAGCTTTCCTAAGCCCCTATGAAAACACTGAAAGTTATCAGCAGTGACAAAACGGATAGACTAAAAGCTTTTTTTCAATCATTTATATAATAAAATGAAAGAATGCAATGGAATAGGGAAAGTGGATGTAGTGAGCATAACTTGACAAAGCTTCCCTACAGATCTTTCAGAAATTAATATAAAGTGTTCAAAAGAAATGGAGGGCTTGTACATAAAGAATAAAGAGAGAAGATCATCTTATATAAAAACATAGCAGGCCAGCCGAGTGGCACATTGGTTAAAAGTTGGCTTGGGACGCCAGCTCTGAGCAGCAGGGCCCTGGTTCAGATCCCACATGAGGGCCAGTGACACTGCGCCCTCTACAGCTAAGATGAAGAACAAAAGGACAGCAACTTGTCTGTTCCCNACATGGGCCAGTGAAGCGACATCCTCCACAACTAGACTGAAGAACAAAAGGACAGCAACTTGTCTGTTCCCCTTCCCCAATTCCCCAGCGCTGTTCTCTCCCTCAATTCCCCAATAAAATCCTTAAAAAAAACCAAAACAAAAAAAAACACATAGCGTCTCTGGCAGTTTAAAAGCAAAATAAAACATTATGGAATTATGTATTTTTTAAGGTATTAAAAATCCAAATGACTGAAGCCAGTGTAGGAGCTACAAGCATGCACACAAAGCTGGTGACACCTTGTAAGAAGAGAATAGTTCAATTGTTTTTATTTCTGGCAGATATTCTGACGATATGTAATGAGCTCTGAACCTGTTTGTACTTTGCTATCCAGTAATCCCCAATGAAAGAAAAAATAATTTTGTCTAGAGGGCTTACTTATTCCCTTTCACAAATAGCTAACATTTATTGAATTTTTCCTGTGGATCTGACATTGTGTTAAGCTCGTGATCGTGTTAACTTAGATTGTGCACAACTCTGTGTGTAAGTGGACTCTGTTGTTTAAATTTATAATTTTAAGTATGTGTGTGTGGGGGGGGTGGATATTAGCCTAGTTACCCAACAAAGTTGAGAAGTAAAAGATTAGGGTGTTGAGCACCTAGGTGGGAAATCAGCCTCAGGCGAGTTTGCCTCCCCCATAAACAGAACCACAGATGGAGACTCTTGGGCTCCTTTTCCCATTATGCCAGACCTCTCTTTCCCTGCAAGGACACTTTAAAGGGTTGTTGAGAGCTACTGCGACCAAACCCAGCTGAACTCATGCAGAATTCAACTCAGGACCACATAGAGCCCTTTGCACTGGTGATGCAGGGGTAGGAAAGCGCTGGAGCCACATAGAGCTCGCCCACTTGGGCTGTCAAGTCTCCTCCTAGACTGTTACCTTCACCCTACTTTTCAATAATTACAGCTTACGCTTTTTATGCAGTAGAGGATTTCAAAAGTTTATGCAGATTCCCTGTAGTAGAGCAACTAATCAGAAGTAGAATAAATAAATGTCTGGTGTTGGTGTTACCTCAAAACTGTCTCACAAATGTGGTGGAATGATTGTATTGTGCATTCTCTTTCCTTCTGGCCCTAGCAACTACAGCTGCTCCAAGTGCAAGAGAGCTGAGCTTAACCTCACTGTTTAAGAAGCTGCAAGAGACCACTAAGCAGAGAACAAAGATAGAAATTGGGGACATTATCCGGATCAGAGGTTATATCCGCACGTACAGAGGAGAGCGAGAAATTCATGCCTCTGTTTATTGTAAGCATAAGATACTTCTGCCAAATTGGTTGTTATTCTGGGTGTGTGTCCAGTAAACTTGTTTAGCTAAAAGTCAAACTTCTAAAAAGTTCAAATAAAAAGATTAATTCTTTTTTTTTTTTTTAAGATTTTTATTGGGGAATTGGGGGATGGGAACATCGCTGGGGAACTGGGGGAAGGGGAACAGACAAGTTGCTGTCCTTTTTTTGTTCTTCAGTCTAGTTGTGGAGGACGTTGCTTCACTGGCCCAAGTTGGCACCATCATTGCGCTCTTCCCGGGTGAGGCAGATCAGTCGCTGGCTTCTGGACCGCTCACTGTGGCTGTTGGCCGCTCATGCTGGCTGCTGGCTACACATGGTAGCCCATGGCAACCCACTGCAGCAGGGGCTGCAGCCTACGCCACCATTGTGCCGGACTCACGGCAGCCCAGCTCCAGGTTGAGCTGTTGTTCAGCATCTTAGCTGTAGAGGGCAGTGTCACTGGCCCTCATATGTGGGAGCCGAATCGGGGCCCTCTGGCGTCCCAAGCCAGCTCTTAACCAATGCGCCACTTGGCCGGCTCCAAAAGATTAATTATTTATTGGAGGAAATTATATTTCATAGCATGCTTTCTTTACAAAAGCAGCATTTCTTAAATTTGTTTGGAAGAAAGGTTAACCACAAATAAATTGGGAAAGAAAACAAATGATTTATTATATATAGCTGGAAATTTTATATAGACCATATAGTAGAATTTCTAAAGTACTCTGAAGTTCTAAAGTATGAATCCATTTAGGGCAGAGTGCTCATATTCTTCAAAATGATGAAGATTTCTTAAACGCCATTGAATTCATTAACTTTGAAGGAAAACAGCTAATCAGATATGTGACAGTCCTGTATCATCAGAGTGATGCCTTTTGCACCGCTCTGGCTGGTTTTTGCTTGGCAACCTGGAGGACAGCCCCTGTTGTCCACCATTCTAACAGATGAGTGAATAAGCTAATGTGCTCTCCCTAGTCCCAGTCTACTCCTGGCCAAGCCTGTGACACTTAGGGCATTGCATTCCCTCTTGCGGGATGACTGTGAGCTATTTAGTGCATCCAGACTGTATGATCCCTGGTCACCCACAAGGAAGGAGACTTCCAAGTGCCTCATTTACTTGTCATCCTAGTAGCAATTTGGACATGGGAAAGAACTGATGTCAGTATAATTTCTGTGGTATATTTTGTCATGTGGCTTCTCAGATAAAGTGGACGATCCAGTGTGCAACATTCAAATTGCAAGGATGCTTGAGCTGCCCAACATCTACAGGAAAGTTTATGACCAGCCTTTCCACAGCCCAGCCCTAGAGAAAGAAGAGGCACGAAGGTAAGTTATGGCCTGTCACTGCAGAAGATGTGACCACAGCAGTAAGGTCAAGCAGGGGCTAGCTCAGATGCTGGAGTGGCCCGGGGTTCAAATCCCGGAACTGTCACCTTACACGCTTTGAGGCGCTGGGCAAATCTGCTCACCCTGTGTATGCCTCTGTCCTCATCCTGATCCGTAAGGTGAAGACGATAATAGTAGAGATGTTCTAAGGTGGTTGTGAGGAAAATATAACAAACTGGAGTCCCTGAAAGAATGGAGGGAGCAGAGAAAAACTACAGTAAATCTTTGGATTGCGAGTAACGTGGTTTGTGAGTGTTCCGCAAGACGAGCGAACGTTTCTAATACATTTTAATGTAAATGAGCCATGTCTTGCAATGTGAGTAGTTGGTTTCTGGAACAAATTATGCTCTCAAACCAAGGTATTACTGTGTATTTGAAGAATGATGACTGGGATGTTCCCAAATTTGATGAAAACTAAAATCACATATCCAAGAAGCTCAAATGAGCCCTAAAGCAAGAAACCTGAAGAAAACTGCACCAAGGTGCATCATAATCAAAATACCTCAGCATGACACGTTATAATAAAAACTACAAAACACGATACCAGTCGTCATCACCAGGAATGGTTTTACTCTTTTGTGTGTGTGTGTCGGGGGGCGGGGGGTGGGGGGCAGAAGGAGAAAAAAGATATGTGCATTTGCTAGTATATGCATCAAAGGACTCTGGGAGAAGACAGAATAATAGTCCTTGCCAAGGGTGTGGGAACTAGGAGGAGGATAGAAAGGAGACTTTTTACTATGTACCCTTTAATTTTTTAAAAATATGTGAATATATTATGTTTTCAAAAATTATATTAAAAAACACCCCAAACTATAGACCTGTATAAAGTAAAAAGTAAAAGTTCTCCGTTGTCCTGTTTCCCGTCTCAGAACCATGCCCCAGAGGTTACCACTGTCCATGGTTGATGTGTATCCTTTTAAACGTTTTTCTTCTGTGCATACACAAGCACGAATATCCATCCATATATTTTGGGGGTTGTCATTTGCTTTTTTACAAAAGTGGGACCATACCATACATACTATTCTGTAACTTGACTTTTTTTCTTAATCTATCATGAATATCTGAGTTTCTCTCATTCTTTTAAACAACAGCATAATAGTCACAGTGTGAATTGCCCTTTATGTCAAAAACAAGCATTAATATAGTGTTGTGTTTCCTGGCTAAGGTTCTGTTTTATGCACACCCAAAAGGAACAGAGCTGTTAGTTTTCTGCAGTGCCTTTTTAAAACTTTCCCCAGCAGCAATCCAAGCACCCTGGACCTTGCCAGTCTCACGTGTTCGTTGAGTGAAAAAGTCAAAGAATTCCTTGTGAAGAACAGAGTGCAAACCTTTTATCAGCAGGAGTTGGAAATGGTGGAGTCTCTGCTGTCCTTTGCCAATCAGCCCGTGATTCACAGCGCCTGCTCTGAGCAAGTAAGTGCAGCATGTCCACGGGAGCATTCAAGTCCCAAATCTGCAGCCAAAGGGTGTGAGTGAATGTGACTGTGGCATTAAGAATCACAGGGAATAGAGGTTGTTTCTATCACATGACATGTCTATTCTGTAAAGATCACTAACCACTAAGAATTTGAAATGAGAATGGACCTGCCCTTTTCCCCTCCTTACTTAGTCTCATTAAGCTTACTTAATCTTCAGGTAGAAAAAATAATAATAGTCTAAGATTCATAGTACTTAGTTCCTACTACTCACGGAGATGAGTATTTGATCTCAGTATGAGCCAAATGAAGAAGGAATAGATGAGAAGAGGTAATTATCCTTCCAAGATTATTTATTGATCAGCAAGATGATTCTTGAACTTGAACCAATGTTTTTAATGACTTGCTGTCTCTTTTTCACAATAAGGTTAACCTATCACGTTTTAGGAGTTTGAATAAAGACCAAGTTGTATTCAGTCTGGTTTAGAAGTAAAAATTGCAAGGAACACTTAAGTCATTTTTATTCTTCCTGGAAAGAGCGTCCCCATTTTTTCAACCCTAGTTAACTTAAGTTGTTTGGTGTTTATATATTTGCTTGGAATTAAGAATTATTTGAGACTTTGGTGTTAGGCTTTCCCTTTTCATTGCAGTTCTTGGATTTTTATTGTTGTAATATGACTTGTGTTCATTTATTTCATTTGTTCCACCAGGGAATAACCTCTGCTTAAATGTCACCTCCTTGCCCTCCTTGACCATCTACCCTGATAGCCACCTACTTCCTCACTATGTTATCATCCTGTTTTTATATCGTGATCTCGCTGGTATTTACTTGTTTGCCTGCCTGTTCCTCCAACAGAATTTAAGTTCTCTAAGAGCACAGGTCTTCTCTGTCTTCTTCTCTGTTCTCTAGAACCAGTGCCTAGAATACATCTGTCATAAAGTTGGTTTTATAATGAACAAATAATTATTTGTGAATTGAAGAATGAATGGTTTCTAAAACTTCAAATAGCTCCTGAAAGTATCTAGTTAAAAGTAATTTTCCTTCCCCTCGTCTTTCCTCCCCTTTCCCCCAGAGACAAGCGCCATGACTAGTCTCATGAATATCCTCTTGGAGATAGCCTGTGCATATATATAAACTAGAAGTAGTTGTATCCCCCTTTTTTTTGCACAAATGGTACCTAGCTTTTCATTGATATTTACCATATCTTTTCCTAGCCGTACAGATAGATTTGCCACTAATCTTTTGTTATGTGTACCATAATTTAGATAACAAGCCTCCCTTCCCTGACTGTTTAGATGTTTTCTAATCTTTTGCTGTTACCCGCAGGGCTGCTCTGAATCCCCTTGTTAGGAACATAAATTATTCTTTGCGATTCTGGTGGAACAGATACCAGATCCCCATCCAACTTCCTAGGCCCGACCCCCACTTCTCAGTTTCATTCATGAACCTAATTATCTCTTCCTGGCACCAGGCTGTGTGTCCAGTGACCCATGATTTCATACACAGCGATGAGGGATATTGTTTCAGGAAACACCAAGGTGGAGAGGGTCATGACTGGCTGCTTTGTCCTGTGCCACTGTTGCTTCTAAACAGTTGCAGCTCCCCAGCTGTCCGCTGACAGCAAGGTTGACCTTCCCATTTAATCATTTAGAGGAGGCTCAATGCCAAGGTGGCCTCCTAGGACTTCCGACCGCTCTATGGGCATGTTTGGAAGGAAACTTGGAAGCTTAGTGAAGACCACATTCTTCCTGTGAACAGCTCTTCTGCAGTGACTATAATTAAGAGACTTGAGGTCTCTGAGGACTAAAGGGCTCCTCCATTCAAAACGACTTGTGGAGAACCTTTGGCATGGTATCATTTTGAAAGTGCTTAGAGCAGAAACTTAGGACTGCCCAGTGCTGCATGTTTAAAAAGAAATGAATATGGCACTGTATTTGTTTTGTCTTTGGAAACTATTTTTCCATCAATTATGAATTGTTCCCTCACATGGCTCTGCTTGGGGGGTGGGGGTGGGGTCAGTGTCATTCAAGTGAGTTCTATTTAATAGAGCCTGGGAGGCTAAGGATGCTTTACAATGGTGTTGAAACCCTAGATCCTTTGGCACTTTGTATTGTCACACAGATGAAAGCTTCTCAAAAAAAATTATTGTGATAGCGTTATAGTTGAGAGGCAGGGGAAGAGCTGGTTTGAACGTTTTCCTCTTTCTTTTTTTCTCCTTTTTTTTTTCCACAGTGGCCCTTCTTAGCAAATCCAGAAACCTGATAAGCAGGCCTTGCGAAACCATTGTTTCTTTGACAGCTGTATAAATGTTGAGTTTGTTTGGGAATGAAGACTATATATATTTCAGAGATCCACCCAGTTCCTGACCTGGGATGAGGAGAGGCCTGCGAAAGCTCAGCACGTTCAGCCAGTCAGTTTTTTCCTTTGAGGAGTTTCGGTTTCCTGAATCAGATGAGTCTGTCATTGCTCTTTAGAAAAAGACAAGAAAGACACAAATCCCACGCCAGGAAAAGCTACTGGCTAGAAGAGATGATTGGAGGCTTTACCCTTGAGACTGTGTCTTTATAATCATCAGGGAGATATATCCCGAGGCCAGCTGGGGCAAATGTTTTTGGAAAGGAAGCTTCACATATTGTTTACATTTACAGAGAGCCTTTTCTGTTGGGTCCTCTTTGTTCACAGCTGATGCTGTGCATTTAATCTCACAGGCCTAGCACTCTGTCTTCCTGCTGCTTCATCTTACTGAAATCTAGGAGGAGGAATAGGACTTCATATATGGTGTGGGGAACTCGACCCTTAGGGTCCTTATATTAAATTGACTAAAGAAGACAAATCTATGAAGATTAGGTAGTTATAAAGGGATTTTTTGGGGAGGGGGGGCTATATTTGGTTGTGTTTCCCCTAAGTAAAAACACTCACATACGAAATTAAAAACAGCTTTGTTTGAAGCCCACCTCCTACCCCATCCCCCCACAAATAAAAAGATGTGTGTCTGAGGATTGCTAGATGAGGTGTTTATTCCAAACACACCCATATAGCTTTTCTTCCCATAAGTATCATCAAATATTTCTCAGCCTTATTCTCCCTTCAGAAAATGGGTGCTGTCATACCCTGGAATATTTGTCAGCTTTTAGGCCCTAATGTTCTAATAATCGAGTTCTCTACCTTGTTCTGTTAAGGAAAAACTTAGACCCTGAAGAGTCTCAGACTCTCCTCTTCAGCTCAGGACAACTCGTTTGTGAAATATTTCCAGGATCTATTAGATTGAAACAGTGCCTGTTTGGGAGGTGTCTTTTGGAAAGAGAAAGTTTCTTTAGGGATGAAATTGGCAACCCTTGGGGCCATTTGAGGGTTTCCTTCCTGTCCCTGCTACTTGAAGGAAATGTCATCAACAGATCTCAAGCCCACTGTTTTTCAGCATCTCTGGGTGCTACCCCAGACAGCCTCCATAAATACCTTTCACTGGAGGTAGGACTTTGCCTTCAAACACCTTGTTGGAAGCTTTACCATAGTTCTTTGGTGCTCTGATCTTTCTAATACCTTGACAAATTTCTGGCACATTAAAAATGCACCTGTACTTTGAAGGACAATTGTTGTTCACCAGTTTGTTTTAGGAATGAACTGAAAAGCTCTGTAGTTGGGTATTTACTTCCATTCATTATATAAATGTTTTATTGGTTACCTACTGTGTGCCAGAGAAGAGGTGGCCAAGGTGAAATACAAAGTCCCCAACTCAAGAAGCACACAGTCTAGTTAACCATGGTGGGACATAGCTGAAAACTTAGCTCTCTTGAGAATAAGAAGTAGTATGACCTGGTGACCTTTGTTAGGTGGACCTGATTCTTAGAGAAGGGAAGAATATTGAAATTGAGGAGACAGCAGCAGTGGTTCCTTCCACATGGTGGTCTTGCCTTACTCTAGGACCCCTGTCCACCTTCAGCCCACAGACCCACCTTTGATAGGTCTTTCTGCACAGCTGTTTGCCGCCGTTGTTCTTCGTTTAAAATGAGACTGTTTAATACTTTTCTACTTGCTGGGATCCCCAACTTATTTCAATGTGTGTAAAATTCTTTGAAGTCCTTAGGAAGAGATTGTATATAGCTACAACTTTAATGAAAAAAAATTCACTAATATGTATACTATGTTTTAGTTCTGTATAAAAAAATAAAAATTGTCTTCTTTGAGTTTTCTATTTCATAACGTTGAATTAAATTAAACAAAAAAAAAGCATAACGAAGGTGTGGAACAGTTATAAAGCATGATCCTGCCAGAGCAAACTTCCCAATGCTCCCTAAATAGCACCCTGCTTAGGCTGGTGCACACCTGGATCTTTTTGACTCAGCACATAAAAGCCTGTTGGGTGAATTCATAAACCAGTTAGTCTAGAGAGTTGCTCTCAGGTGCTGTAAGATGGGGCTTATTTCTTCCTTCCTTTTTTCCCCTGCCTTTTTCTTTTTCCCACAGGCAGATGTTCAGAACGATACCACCTCCAAGGATATTCGTGGTATATTTAAGGATGCTATCAAGCTGCTGCAGGACAGAGGACTCGTTTACCAGAAAGATGATGGTTTTGATAAACTATTCTACGTAAGAGGCTTGCAACTTAATTGTTTCCCTTCTTAGCTCCAATTACAAATATGTTTATAACTTAAGAATACCTATTTACTGTTTTTAAAAATCAGTCATTCAGGAGGTACGTAAAGTGAGGAGTGAAAGTTGGCCCTTATCCTCCAAGGTGCCACTTTTAACAGTATATCCTTCTAGACATTTATCTGTGCATTTACAAATGCACACATATAAATATATGCTCCGTTGGCTTCTTTTTGTTCTACAAAAAAGAAAAATATAATCATTCTCTAAATTAGGATTTCTCAACCTCGGCACTATTTGGGCCGGATGATTCCTTATTGTGGGGGTCTGTCATTTGCATTGTAGGATGTTGAGCAGCATCTCTGTCCTTCACTCACTAGATGCCAGTAGTAGCACCCCACTGTGGCAACCGAAAATGTCCCTAGACATTGCCAAGTGTCCCCTGGAACAGTTGAGAACCACTGCTCTAAATAATGTCAGCAACTTTTTTTGACACCAAAATAACAACTTACTGCATCTTTCCATGTGAGTATTTATAAATCACCTCATTCTTTTTGACATCTGCATGGTATTCCATGTTATGGGAACTTGCCATAAATATTTTAACCCCTTATCTTGGATGGACATTTATGGTGTTTCCAGCTTTTGCTCTCACAAAATAGTTTTGCTATGGCTATTTTTACACAACTATTTTGTGAACTAATGTAAGTATTTCCGTAAGCTTAATCCTGAAAAGAGGAATTGCTGGAGCAAAGGGCATGTACCTCTAAGCTTTTGATCAACAGTCTGATTGACTACCCAAATGCTGTACCCATTGACATTCTCAACAGGGTACAAGTGCTTGGTTGTCTTGTACTTGCAGAGTTAAAAAAGCTCGCCCCTCGGGCCGGCCGAGTGACTCAGTTGGTTAAGAGCTCACTAAAGAGTTTGAGCTCTGAGCAACAGTGGTTCAATTCTCGGTCCCAGATGAGCTGCTGAGCTGCCACTGAGCTGCCAACAGGTGGCAGGATGGCTCAGCAAAAAAAAAAAAAAAAAAAAAGTTCGCCCCTCACTGCCTACCTAGAATACTGGAGGAGCCAGGCTGAAATTGGGCCTCCTCCTGACCATTGATATCAGTAGCAGAGACCTGGCTTCAGCTGTGAGTGACTCCCCTCAACACAGATCAAAACTCTGAGGAATCCCAGAAGTCTCATTTTTTTTTTTTAAAGATTTTTATTGGGTAATTGGGGGGATGGGAACAGTGCTGGGGAATTGGGGGAAGGGAACAGACAAGTTGCTGTCCTTTTGTTCTTCAGTCTAGTTGTGGAGGACGTTGCTTCACTGGCCCAAGTTGGCACCATCATTGTGCTCTTCCCGGGCGAGGCAGATCAGTCGCCGGCTTCTGGACGGCCGCTCACTGCGGCTGCTGGCCGCTCACGCTGGCTGCTGGCTACATACGGTAGCCCATGGCAACCCACTGCCACAGGGACTGCAGCCTACGCCGTTGCCAGCGACTCACAGGCAGCCCAGCTCCAGGTTGAGCTGTTATTCAGCATCTTAGCTGTAGAGGGCAGTGTCACTGGCCCTCATATGTGGGATCCGAACCGGGGACCTCTGGCATCCCAAGCGAGTTCTTAACCATCGCGCCACTCGGCCGGCCCCCAGAAGTCTCATTATTTACAGGCAGGATTCCTGAGGGGGAGCTTTCCTTAATATAGGACATTTTCTTGATGTTGACTCACTCCATTGATTCCTCATTTTAGAGCATTTTTTAAAATTAAGAGATATTTTAACATAAATTGAATACCTTTTCAAAAGGGTATGCCAATCTGTATAATGGTGAGTGCAGTCTACCCCCTCCCAGGGTGGGGAGGCCTGGTGGCAGTTGATTGCCTCTTGTGGGCTTGGAGAAACTCACCCGCCCCCACTTCCACCTACCCATCCACTTCCAGTCAAATCCCCCCTAGGAGGCTCTGGGGTCAGCCTCCTGGGTCTGTAGAAAGCAGCTCTTCCTTGGGAGCAGCAGAACCATGGGCAGCAGTCCAGGGCTGAGGAGTAACAGGGCTGGGGCACTTCCTCCTGTGAATCAGTATAAGCTGGAATGGGGTGATCAAGCAATAGTAGCTCTCTTTTCCTCAGCAGAACTACCCCCTTTCCCTGACTTCACTGTTCCCCTTTCACCTCAGTGACTGGCCTTGTAGGTTTCTGTTTTCCTGAGCGCCTGGCCTCAGGGAAATAGTTATCACAGTAATGTAGGTACTTCTATTTGTATAGCTCTTGCCAACTTTCAGCAGCTCACACCACATTTCCTTATTTAATCTTTGCAATAACCTTGTGAGAAGGCAGGCATTATCAGTATCCCCATTCTTAAACCTGGTGATTCTGTGAGTCCCATCAAACAAGCACTCCTCATGTTAAGTGTTTGTTTGCATGTTTCTTTTTTTCCCCTTCTTTCTTCCCCTATTTCCTTTCCTTTCTTTTCTTTCCTTTTCTCTCTCTTTCCTTCCTTCCTTCCTTTCTTTCTAAAATATAAGATTTACTATTGAACATAGAGGGAGACCCATTTAGTTGCTGGGTGAGAAAGGATCCAGGTTAGGTTTGCCTTTGAAGATAGGGTTTTTCAATGGATAAAAAGGCTAGATTTTTTTTTTGCCAGCTTTTCCTTACGGTCTTATTTATTTTGTTTGTCCTTGTGGTTAAGAGAAAGAATAAAGCTAATGAAACACAAGGCAGTTGTCAGATCACAGAGGAAAGAGTGCTGGGGTTGAGATCAGAGACTTTGATGACTTGTGCCTCCCTCAAAAATATGACAAATGAGAAATTTTATGAATGTATTATGAATATTTAAGAAGAAAGTTGCTCCTTAAACGTATTCCAATTTCTCTTTACACCATGGCCCCAGTGAACCACCTCCCAAGGGAGTGTGGCTCTGGGTCAGCTGCGGAGCTGAGAGCTGCTGAGGGACAGAACTCGTTTGACATTAGGCCAAGTATTGAAAAGCACTGTTGGCATAGGGATGATGGTTGTTATGAAATCTTTAGAAACTTTGCTAAATACTAATTTGGGAGTCTGGATGACACAACCTTGAGACGACTCTCTCAAACTGGTTTTCCTATTTAGGTAACCAAAGAAGACAAAGAACTGCATAGAAAGATCCATCGTATCATTCAAGAAGACAGCCAGAAACCAAACCGTAAGTGGAGTATTGCGCACGTCCTAATGCACTGGAAGGGGATGTTCCCTCCCAGAGAGCACTGGAGAGAGTCAGGAGACGGGGGATTTCCCCAGGAGCGACTTGGAAATGTGGCTGATCAAGACATCTGCCCTCTCGAAGCCTCAGGTTCCTCCTCTCTGAAGTGAGCGTTAGGCTCGCACAGTTGTTCTAACCTTCGCTACACATAAGATTAAACCTCGGAGCTTTTTTGAACATAAGGTGCTCAGGTCCCACCCCTGGGGATTCTGATTCCTGAGAGCATAGGGTAAGGGCATAACAGGTGAGCTCCTCAGGTGATTCGGATACAATGAGGGAAGCCACTGGGCTAGGAATTTTTGATGTCCTGGTTCTCATGGCCTCTGATTTGTGTTATTTCTTGTTCTACTCTTGCCCCTTATCTTTGAACCCAAACCTGAAATTTTCCTCTCTTTTGACATCAAGCCCTTCAGGGTTGGGAGGAATGGTTCTAGACACTACAGTTTATGAACTGTGTAATTAAGTTATCTTGGAACCTGATCATTTGCAAAAGATATGGTTTAGAAAATAGTTGGTTTTAGTGGAGTTAGGTCAGCCCCTAGTGGTTAGAAATTTAGAAACTCAAGCTGTAGATAGTCTGAAAACAGACATTACCATTGTCATACTAGTCAGCAAGAGAAGAGAGCATTAGTCCTATCTTTAAGTCTTGTGTTAACTGATGAGTCTGAAAGGTGACTTTTCAATGTCTACCATTTGCAAACATGCTAATAACAAATGTTGGCATATGGCAACAAGTGGCACTATAAGAAAAGTGGAAAGACTTCTTAATGACCACAAGTCTCCTCATCCTGCTTTCTTTTTCTCCACCCACCTCCAGTTCTTTCAGCCCATATATGCCCGAGGTCTGGACCTATTCCAGGCGAAGTCACCGGAAGAGCTGGACCTGGTCTCCAGCCCTGGTGTTTATGGTTGCAGCCCTATGTAGCCAGTAAGAACCGATGAGGTCAGATCCCAGATCTTAAACTGAAAGCAACCTATTATTTTAATGCAGCTTGTCTGGCTGTTATTCACTTCATTCACAACAATAAGAACAAGTATCCTGTAGTTGGGAGGAAAACCCTGTCTATCCATAATTTAACGAGGTTTTCAGAGCAGTGAAATGTGGAATGTTTCAACTAAGAAGGGATGAGAGGCTGCTCCCCCTGTAACATTCCTGCACTTATCTTCATCCCACACCACCTCGCCAGGTGCTTATTTTGATCTGCATTAGGAATAGGGTGGATTGAAATAATCTGAGGGCCTAGTGAAGCAAATAAAAGGAATTTACACTTCATTTCTTAGGAGAACCAAATAGACTCAGTGGCCTGAGGGCCTATAAAATGGCAGTTTTAAATCCACTTCTCATCCACAGGCCAGCTTCTGCTTGGGGAGTGTGTGTGTCAAGGTAGATAGTCTCTGTCACTCAGTCTGTAAAGGGGAGCCTCTAAAAGCCATAAACCAATTCCTTAGAACTAGTGAACTCCCAGAAGCTGAGTCCTGGAGCTTAAATAACTGAGAATGCCAATAAAAAGACCTTATACAGTCTGTCTGAGAGTCTACCGCGACAACTCCTTTTCACAGGAAATAGCTATGACATTAAAAAAAGAATTATTTTGAATAATTATGTATGTGATAAAAAGTCAAACAGTGCAGAAGTACATGCAGGAAAGTCAGACCCCCTCCCAGCACTGAACCCCAAACTCTGTGTCCCGCTTTCCAAAGGCAGTGGTTATTACTAGTTTTCTACATATACTTCTAGAGATGTTATATGTACTTAAAAACATATTTGTGGTATTTATCCTTTTTAAAAAGCACATGTAAAGGTTAGCATACAATACTCAGTGTCCCATGCCTTGTATTTTAAATCTAACATTGGCTTCTAGAGGTCATTCAGTAATAGTACATATAAAAGTGTCTCAGTCTTTTTAATGGTTGCACAGTATTCTATTATATATATTAATAGGTATTCAACCACTTATGTAACCATTTCTACTGGACCGTTAGTTTGTTTTTAACCTTGCATACAAAATATAGCAATGGAGTTTTTCCTTGCCAGGATGATTGATGGGAGAACTTAAAATCTTTAGTCATTTATGAGTATTTCAGCAAAGGTTAAACCTACAACAATAAAAGGACTATAAATATGTGGCCTCTTTAGGTCCCTAAAGCACTAATAGCAGGCTTATCTAAAAATGAGTAGCATGACATAGTTGTAAAGAGCTGGGCCCTGGAGCCACCTTGCGTGGGTTTGAATCCCACCTCTGCCACTTGGCAGCTGTGTGACCTTGAGTAAGTCTGTGCCTCAGCTTCTTTATATGCAAAATGAGGATAATAATATTACCTACATGATAAATTGTTATGAGGATTAAACAAATGGGTGTTTTATAAAACTGTTAGGAAGATGGCAGATTAAGAAACACTAGGAATCTGTCTTTCCACTTAGGCAACAATTGCATCTGTGTGATATAACTATTTTGGAATTCTGAAGTCTACTGGAGGTTTGCAATTTCCAGGGAAAAGCTTGGACAGTAAATTGGGGTTACTTTGAGTCAATTTTCAGCTGATAGGAACAGCTATCCATCCCCCTCCCCAGCGTGTGGTGGGCAGCTGTGTACTTGTTACTGGAGCAGCTTGTACAGAGCTTACAGGAGCTAGAGTGGGAAAAATTGACCCTGTACTCCAAATATCAGGGATCTGTGCTCTGATTTCTGATTGCTACTTCTGATTACAGAGGTGCAGACAAAGAGGTGGGTAGTCATTTTTGTTACATCTCACCCTGCTGTTGCAAGTCTCTCTCCCAACACTGGAGTCACTTCAAAGGGATTTTAAAGTACTAGTGCCCTTTTTATGCCCCTTTTATTTTTGTTTTTTTACCCCCTTTTGGGAGACAGAAAAGAAAGACTAGTATATTCAAAAGCAACTGCATGTAGGGGAGAAATCAGTAAGTGATGACACATGCCCAGAGAAAGGTGCAGGCTCAGAAGACGACCTGAGAAGACCTTAAGTTTACATCCTTAGCACAGAGATAGCCTACAACAATTTCAAAAAGAAACAAACAAACAAAAAACCTATAACAGAATATACAGCAAACCCTTGGGAAGGGGAAAAATATGATATCCAGAATTACCACATTATTAGACTCAAATGTCCAGTTTCCAACTGAAAATCACAATATATACAAAGAAACTAGAAAGTATGGCCCATTCAAAGGGAAAAATATATATCAACAGAAACTGTCCCTGAAAAAGACCTAATGGCATGTATACTAGACAAAGACTAAAACAACTGTCTTAAAAATGTTCAACTAAAGGAAGGTGTTGAGAAAGTTAAGAAAAGGATGGATGAGAAACATGAAAATATCAAAGAAATAAAAAGAACCCAAAAATTAAAATTCTGGAGCTGAAAAGTACAATAACTGAAATGAAGAATTTAGTAGAAGTGATTCAAAGGCAGATTTGGACAGGCAGAAGAAGGAATTAGCAAACTTGCAGTTGAAGAGAAAAAAAAAAACAGAGCTTAAGGGACCAATGGGACACCATTAAGTGGACTAACATTGGCATTGTGGGAGCCCCAGAAAGTGAAGAGAGAATATTTGAAAAAATAATGGATGAAAACTTCCCTAATTTGATGAAAGACATAAATATAAATACCCAAAAGTTCAATGAACTCCAAGTAAGATGAACTCAAAGAGACCACACCAAGACACATTATATATAATCAAACTTTTGAAAAACAGAATCTTGAAAGCAGCAAGCAGCAAGAGAGAAACAAATTGTCACATACAAAATGGATCATTAATGCAACAGCAGTTCAATGCCTGGCCTGAGCTGAGCTGCCAATAGGCAGCAGGATGGCTCAGCTAAAAAAAAAAAAAAGGATCATCAATAAGGTTAGTACCAGATTTCTCATCAAAAGCTTTAGAGGCCAGAGGCAATGGGCTGATATAGTCAAAGTGCTAACAAATAAACTGTAAGCCAAGATCCTAGATCCTATATACAGCAAAGCTGCCCTTCAAAAGTGAGGGAGAAATCAAGACATTTCACAATAAACAAAATCTGAAGGAGTTTGTTACCACTAGATCTGCCCTGCAAGAAATACTCAAGGAAGTCTGGCAGGGTGAAATGAGAAGACACTGGACAGTAACTGAAAGCCATATGAAGAAATAAAGATCTCAGTAAAGGTAAATACTTGGACAATTATAAAAACTAGTATTATTGTAACAATACCTTGTAACTCCATTATTGTTTTCTGCATCATTTTAGAGATTAATACATTTAAAAAAAAACCCAGCAAGTATTAGTCTAAAAGTTTATATTATTGTAACTTTGGTTTGTAATTCCACTTTTTGTTTTCTACATAATTTAAAAGATTAATGCATTTGAAAGAATTATTAGTTTATGTTCTTGGGCACACAGTATATAAACATGTAAGTTTGTGACATCATCAACTGGAAAGGGATGGAACAGAGCTGCTGTAAAGGAGTAGAGTTTTTGTATGTTATTGAAGTTAAACTGGTATAAATTCAAATTTGAGTGTTACAACTTCAAGATGTTAATAGTAACCCCATGGTAACCAAAAAGAAAATAGCTAGAAAATATATACAAAAGGAAATGAGGAAGGAATTTAAATGTTTCATTACAAAACATCAACTAAATACAAAAGAAGACGATAATGCAGGAAATGAAGGACAAAAAGCTATAAGATATACAGAAAACAAGTAGAAAATAACAGAAGTAAGTTTCTTCTTATCATTAGTTACTTTAAATATAAACAGATTCAACTCCCCACTCAAAAGACAGAAACTGGCAGAAGGGACTAAAAAAACATATGATCCAACTATATGTTGTCTACAAGAGACTCACTTTAGATCCAAAGACACAAATAGGTTGAAAGTGAAAGAATGGAAAAGATATCCCCACGCAAATAGTGTACCAAAAGAGAGCGGTTTGGCTATACTAATATCA